GAAGCCCACCAGCTGCAGGGCCCTCCGGGGGTGGGCTCTTCAACCTCGTTGGGGACTGGACCCTGGGGAAGGGACCGATGGGGCGCTGGCTGACCAAGGAGAGCTGGGCATCCATTTGCCTCCTGGAGCTGTGCAGGGCCGGGGAAATGGTAGCATAGATAGCACTCGGGGCAGACTCCTCAGTGGATGTGGTAGCAGTGGAGGGCATGCTGACTGTGTACTTCTCAGAGTAGGAGGGGGTGTGGGGTTTTGGGGGGCCACGAAGAAGAGGCCTGACTGAGAGGACTCAGAGGAAGGGCGCTTGGGCTTGTCTTTCCCTGGGTTCCTGTGCTGGGCAGCAGAGGGGTCCAGCATCTGAGGGGCTGAAGGAGGAGGTGGAGGCTTGAAGTTGGGTGGTTCATCTGGGAAGGAGAGATCATCCTGCCAAACCAAGAACAGAAGCCTTTAGGACACCATGCTCAGCCGCGAGAACTTCCCCAGGCCGACAGTCACCTGCATGTGCCTTCTCACAGTGACTATGGCAATATGAGCCGATTTTCACAGAAACGCCTTTCTGACCTTACTAGCAACAAGAATACAACTCACAAATGAGGACAATTAGAGGACAAACTAACCAACTTTTGCTTTGGTTTGCACAGATGCTACTCTTACGCAGCCAGCCATGATCCTTCTTCCTAACTGTCTGCTTAATTTGCTTCAGTGACTGCAGACATCCATGGGCAGATGATGTAGCAAAGAGCCACAAAAGCTGAGGCAAAATTTGTTATCATCTGTTTGCCTCCAGCTCCTATCTAGGTGCAGCAGCACGGTGCAGTGTCTTACCAGGGAGATGTCCGGCAGGGTGTTGATGCTACTTTGGTGGCCATCTCCACCTCCCTCCAATTCTGACGTGTTCTGATACAGCAAAGAAGGAAGAGAAAAACAGGTCACAGCTGCAACCACCACAGTGCCAGCATGATAGGGAATATGCAGAGTGATGCAGGGCATTGCCCAAACCCCCCATGCAATGCCAGTCTTTCACCCAAAGGTTTTGGTTTCCTGGGAGGTTCTCTAGAGACTCACATGTAAGAGCAAAGCAACTTGGTTGGGAAACCAACTCTCCCAAGCTAAGAAGCGTGCTCAAAGCATGCTGTGACCCTGACCTCTGCAGCGGAGGAGTGTGCTCGTCTTAACCCAAATCTCAGCTCCTCTGTTTAATTTGGAAGGAGGGGAGGAACCAGCTCTGAGGGCCGCAGGTTCAATACCTGGAGGTTCAACACCTGGATCTTTCCCAGGAGAAGGGCAATGAAAACATTTAAAACTTCCCTCCCTTGCAAACCAGAGCAGTTGGTCTCAGGTGCAAACAGAAGCCACTGCCACTGCCTTCCCTTTATGAGTCAAAATGTCATTAGAAAACATTACAACACAGCTCTGAACACATCGCAGCTCAAGAAATCAAGAATGTCTTCGGGAATCTGTTTGTCTGTCTGTGCAGGGGCAGCTATCAGTCAGGAGGGACCCAAGGAGAGGGCGTTGGATACAGTCAAGCAGAGCAAACAGGCATCCTGGCTAAGTAACAGCAGGGATGGCAGAACTGGGGGTTTGCAGCAGAGGCTGCGTGTGGAGCTCTGGCGTGGCCCTGAACAGGGCTGAACCCAGCTGGTCCTCAGTGTAGCCCAGCACCATGGCTCTGCTGCTGGCTTTGCCCCAGGCAGGCACCAGGTACAGTCCTGGGGGATGCTCTGCCGGCAGTGCACAGCCCCAGCTCCGCCTGGTTTCCCTGCAAAGCTCTGTAAGAGCAAACCCAGACTCAGCACCCTGCTCCCACAGTAACTCCTGATCTGGAGAGGGGTCTGCTGCTGCCCAGAAAGGGTGTACTTTGTTTCTGTCATGTTCATGAGGATGTTTGTGTGTTTGTGCTGGAATGGGCAGGCTACAGTTTGCATTTAACTGTGTGTTATTTATTGCAGGGTAAACAACTGATTAGTTGAAATGCTGGTGCATCTGCATTTCCCCCATCTGCTGGAGGCTGCTGCTGTGTCTGTAGGATGTTAGCCTCCCAAAATAGACACGGAAGACAATTAAGAGCATTAGAGAAGCAGCAAAAACACTGATGGAAAGTGCTTTTATCTCTGTGGCTTCAGAAGGAACCCTGGAGAATGAGAACTAAAAGAAATGGCTTGTTCAGAGAGTGACAGGGAAAGTATTAACTTGGGAAATAGCTCCTTCCTCTGACGATGGTTGATTTCAATCAATCCAACGTAAAGGCAGGTGGCTTTTGAAAGAGAAACATCTCCGACCCCTTCTTGGGTTACTGACCATGTGGCAAGTCAAGGCAGAAGACAGATTTGGCTGAAACACATAGCAACAGCAACAGAAAGAACAGGATTCAAATAGACTTGACATGCCACAGGTCTGTGCAAATCCAAGCATTGGTATGAAGGATGGGGTGATACCATATGTCTGAGGCTGGAGGAAGAGGCAGGTAGGGCTATTTCAAAAGTGACCTGCTGTCATATTGATTAAAATGATCATGAACTGCTCTGGCCTGTGCACACTTTAGCAACAGGACTTCAGATTTGATTGAAGTGCCAATGAATTTAAAAGCTTGGGTGCCATCATGTCCCCATGTGATGCCAAGGAGCAGAGATGCTCAGCTGGACAAAAGGCAGCGCTGGGGAAACTGCACCAGTGCACTCGCTGAAGAGCTCCCTCCTTTTGCCGTTGTTTCTTCTAACGGGAAAGCTGTTCTGCAGAAAGCTGCCCAAGTACCATCCTCCCCCTGCACCAGCCCACCTCCAGATGCTGCCCAGAACCTTTAATCCAGCCAAATGGCTGCATGCACAAGGAAAGGAGCCAAGGCGGAGACGGTGCCATTTCAGCACCAGGCTGGCCATGTTTGGGAGGATCTCAGCTGTGTCCCTAACTCTTCCCTCTCCAGCCCTGCCTCTAGCAGACTCAACCTGCCTCCAAGCGGTCACTGAGCTCTTGGCAAATGCATGAGGACCAGACCCCTGGGATGTGACCGGGAGCAGCCTGCCATCAGAGTCATAGTTACGTCTCTACTAGAAAGAGAAGAGTCTGCTCAATGCCCCCCTAAAATCTGCCAGTGCCATCTCCCCCAGTCCTGCCACCAAACTCTGTGCCCATCACCACGACACCAAGCCCATGCCAGAGCACATCATGTGCCACGTCCCAGCCCAGGCCTCATAGCTAGGACCAGTCTGCACCAAGACTTGAATCCTCCTGGCAAACGGAGGGTGGGCATGGCCAGCTGCACCCAGTGCCCTCCCTGCCAGCCCAGCGAGACGGCCCTAATCCCACTGCCCCGGCTCTGCTCTCCCTGATCAGCCAGGGACGCTAACATGGCTCGCCTTCAGGGCACTTTTTTCTGCTTTAGTGTGCAAGCACGAGATTTGCCTTTCCCCAAGCTTAGTACTTTGGGGGGCAAAAGCAATTAAATAGAAATTGCTCTGGGCTACAAAATGTAATGGCTTTTAAGTTGAGCACATTTGCTTTCAGGCCTTGGCTATTTTAAGACTGTGGTTTCCTGGATTTCCCTGGAAAGACCCATTGAAGCCACGTGCCACTGCTCTGAAAAATGAGTATCTCTTGAGAAGTCTGCTCCTTCCTACTGACTCTCTGCTCCTTTGCCCCATCTGTTTTCTAGTTACTTAGAGAAACTGGCGGCCAGGAGAGGCTCTTCCAGCCCCTCTGCAGGGTGCAGCTGGAAAACTTTTGTCCTTCCTATCTTGCACGGAGTCCACGGCAGGAGCAATGGAGCTGGAGAGCATCTTTCAGACAGGCAGACAGTTTCCATTCGCAGATTAAGTGGTGGAGAAACTGCCACCTCCCTGGGGAATACAACCCAACCTTTAATTAACCTCACAGCTCCAAATGAGTTCCTTATTTTCCAGTTACTGCTAACGAGAGCTTTGCAGAGTTACTCAGCCTGACTCCCACAGGGTTTAAATTTTGAACAACTGTGCCAGTCTGAGAATAAGCCTAATAATCTCTCCCCTTCTCTCTCCCACCCCAGAACACATCCACAGGGCTGGAGGAGAGCCAGAGCCCCTGGCCCTGCCTCAGCCTGAGCATAGACCTCTCTGACTTTCGGGGCTCTGAGGGTGATACGATGACACCCATGCCATGGCTTCACTCTGGCTCTATCCTCATTGACTGAGAGGACTGTGCCAAGCACATGGGAACCCTCCACAGGGGATGTCTGTGCCTGTCCTAGAAGGGGTCAGAGGACAGCTCAGAGCTGGAGCAGCTCTGTAATGGTGGACATAAGTGAGGAAGATGTCCCCCATTGCTCTGCTCTCATTCTGCTCTCCCTCTGGGGACAGAGAGATCATCTGCCAGCTGCCAAAGAGGCTGTGGGCTCTTGAGTTGAGATTCATTTTCCAGAGAGAGGAACAGTGCAGTGCCAACCTCTCCTTACTTATACTTCTTGTGAAACAGACCAAAGACAGACAGGGGCTAGCAACTCAACTGGTTTACCGCACTGGGCCCAATCCTGCAGCTTCAGGGAGCTGGGAGCAAGTCAGCACCTGTGGAATCAGGCCCTGGGAGGAGAAGACGCCTTTGGATGGCAGCATCTTTGCTAGGAGGCAGTGGAGAAGAAAAATGAAATCAACAGGGATTTCAATTCCTTAATCCTAACAATGAGGGCTGGGGCAGGAGGCCAGGACAAAGGAAATGCTAGACAGCCTTGCCTGTAAGCAATTAGAAATTCATACCGCTCTGATCAGACAAGTTGCATCTGATTATTGCAGTCTACAATTAACCTCTGCCTTACAGGACTCATCTTGAGATCCAAGATTTACAAGAGGTGATGGTGACACTTAGGCAGACACACGTCATCCGTGGGTGGCACCATCAAACAACATTGTCTCATTTCCAAGTATCCTTCAAGCATCCCATAACGGAATCACTTTTCGCATGGCAGGTCCTGATCAGCCTCATACTGGTTATTTTTGGTGTAAGTTCACCCACTGACCCATGGAGAGCTGTCACGACAGGGGGCCTGGTCTAGTGTCACTGCCTTTGGTCCCGAAGCCAAAGAAATCTGTGTCCCACAGTTCAGGGTGCCTGCGATAAACTCAAGTCTGGGAACACTACAGCTATCCTCTTCTAGGTAAGTGCTGTTCCCAGAGGGATTGGCTTTTGGGCTAGGTTCACACATACCAGAGGTCCTCTCTCCCAAAGCAGTACTAGCAGCTCTCAGCTCCATCCACCACTTGCAGTGTGTGCTCAACCCACTGACCCCTGTGATTTCCTTCTAGACAAGAAAGAGGGAATGCACTCCGCACCAGGGCACAAGCCTGCAGCTCTTCTCAGCCTCCTCCCAAACCAAGAGCTCTGTTATGACAGAGAGATTTCTGAGGCTGTCCTCATATCCATGTCTAGCCTCTCTAAAGTTTGTGTGAAGACTTCTCCAAGGCTGAACAAGCACAACATGAGTACACTGACCCCTCCTGCTCTGGAGCACAGATTTTTGCAGACCCAAGGCCAATAAGGAAAATTCTCCCCCATCCCTGAGGATGCGTGATGGGATGTGACCAGCCTACTGGTATTTAGCCAGGGTGCCCATACAGCAAGACAGCACAGCAGCAGGCAAAGCAGGCCACAAGGCAGGAAGGGCAGTCTGGGGTCCATCAGCGCTGCCGGTCCTTCTAAAACTCCAGCCCTGAGCTGTCAGTGGCACTCAGGACTGTAGTGCAAGCAGGACAGTGGTACCCGCTAGGTTTGGTACAAGGCTGAATCTTGTCTGCATGGCAGCACCAAGGCCTGCAGCCGTGCTACCGAGCTGGGGAAATGGACTCTGGAATGGCTCAGCAGAGCCACAGGAAGAAAAGGCAGAGATGGGTGAAATGAGGCTGCTGTTCACATGGCTGAGTCGCATGCTGGCCCCTGGACAGCCTGTACCCCGCCTCCCACCCAACGCACATTCGCATGCACTCTCAACCCGTCTACTATGGCAACCGCAGTACTTGAGCTCCCCGTCTCGCTGACAGCCCCTACCTCCATCAGGTCTATTAGCCACAAGAGCCGCTCCTGGGGACATGCAAGGGGAAAAGCAGATTAAAACAAGCATAAAAGCGAAAACATACATCAGGGAGGATGCAGAACAAATGAGCAAGACAAGCAAATCCTGGCACAATGCATCCCTCCTCCCCCAAAACCCCACCCTGCAGAATCCAGATCCAGCTGCATCCAGTGCTGAATGCCAAAGCTGAAATGAGCCCCTTCTGCAAGAGGTGCTGGGGAGGGCAACAGCAGCAGGGGCTTAGGGCAGAGGAAACAGTTTGGGAACTCTGCCCCTCCTCTCTCTCTGCTGTTAGCTGAGATAAGCACCCATCCACCACGAGCCAGTGCTCTTTGCTTGGCAGTTGTTTTAGCAAGCAGTGGCGGTAAACATCTCAAGTGTCAGCATTCCCACCACCCGAGGCAGAGCTCAGAGGGGTGTATGTTCTCACACCCATGGAAAGAGGTGCCACGCTGCCAGGGAGGGCCTGCAGTGTGACCGAGGGACACGTGTTCCTGGAGGAAGCTCTTAAAACAGAGCCCACCAGATGGTGCCCACTCTCTTCTCTATGCCAGAACAGCGCCCCAGTCTCCCTCACTGACCTCTGAGCCCGTGTGCCAGGTGGGGCTGGGCCATCGCTTACACACCAGGCCAAGCAGCCACGCTTGGCACACGGTGTCACAGAGCAGGAGGGAGAGCACGGTGCACCCAAAGCAAGTGGTACAGCCCCAGGCACAGGGATAGCGTGGGAACAGGGTGTCATGCACAGCGCATGAGTCCTGGCAGACCTGTGTGAGCCCTCTGATACTTCAGAAAGGTTTTCCCAGCAGGCCTTTGGAGAGCAGCGCAAAACTCGTTTTATTTATCCTGATCCAGAAAGGATCTCACTGTAATCCATCCTGAACAGCGCAGATGGCTTTCCTATGGGTATTTGTGAAGTCAACGGGACAAAAGCACAGCTCTGATGCTCTGAAACTCTCGGAGGCCTCTTGGGAGGCTGGACCAAACTGCGTAGGCAGGACCAAACTGTGTAGGCGGGCACAGCCCCAGGAAAGCCCCCCGCCTCCCTCCCCTGCCAGCTGTGTTGCCTGAGCCCTCCGCAGCACAGTCCCACTCGCCTCAGCTGTGGGCTGGTTTGCTTGCTGTTGAACGAGCAGAAAGCCCATTGTCATCCGTTCTTTTCATGAAGGTTTTAATTTCCAAGGTTGCTAATGCATTTATGATGAAAGGCATTTTATGGCTAGGAAATTAATTTCGGGGCTGTGTGCCTGCACACTCTGAGGTGATTATGATAACTTAATTAAATGGTGCGTGCAATGAAGGCCTGGCAGAGAGACGTGGGAGCACTGCCGCTTAATGCTAGAGAGTGGGCAGGGGCTGGGACAGGATGCAGCTGGCCTTGCTGCTGTGGTCCCCGCCGGGATGGGGAGCAGGCAGCCAGCATCTTTAAGGAGGTGATGTAAAAGCAACAGCCAGAGCTGGTGAACTGCACAGTGTGGCAGCCACAAGTAACTGAGACTTCTGCATGGATGCAGCTTGCATTGCACAGCAGAGGTCCTGGCAGAAAAGCAGACTTCCTCCCTTGCTGGGGACAAAGTGACACTTAGCACCAGGCCCAGCACCCATGCAGAGGACAGTGGCATCTCAGTTTCAGGGGCACAGAGATACCAAGCATGTGTTGCAGCACCACCTTATTTCACCTACAAATCATGCTATTGCACCCAGTGCGCAAGAAAAAAAAAAGCTTTGGGGGAATCCATCGGGGAAGCAGGCTGAACAGGGTTTCCTGTGGGGTGAAATACCTTTATAGCACTCCAGGGAAGTGAGTTTGTTGTAGGGCTGCCAGGAGCAGGTGTTGAAAGAAAAAAGGAACCGCCAGGAGGGACTTACCCGAGCTGAGCTGACGGTTGTGGCAGTGAAGTGGCTGCTGGAGGAAGAGACGGTGTCGCTGTAGGACATCATAGAGTAGGAGTCGGTGCCGATTCTGGGCCCTGAGGGCTGTCGAGCCTTCATGGACTCGATCTCTCTCTTCAGCACCAGGTTGTCGAAGCGGTCGAGGTCTTGCGGGGAGATCACACCCCGCACCTCTGAAAGCAGTGAGAACTGGGCCAGGCAGACAGACAACCAAAGAGAGGTTGGGGCACAACCATATTCCTGGGTAGGTGAAGACCCATCCTCCCACACTGTTCAACAGTGGTAATTAGATGTACTGGCAGGTAACGCATGAGGAGGTTTGGTCCTAAACCAGAAGCTCCTCTGCCACTGAATGCCAGCCTGTATCCCCCATAATGTCCTACATCTAGATTTTGCTTTCATACCCTCGCCCTTGATCCTGAGCAGATAACCTTGGAGGCACTGAGCCACACTGTGACAGTGGCTCTGCTTGGTCCACTGGGTGGAAGAAACTGTCCCTGACCTTGGTGTGGGCCTCACCTTAGCGTGTGTGTTGAGTAGCTCGAAAAGCGCCATGACCAGAGCATCCACGGAGATGTTGCCTTCCTTATACTCATCAAGGTAGTACCCCATGGTTGCCCGCTCCTGTTCATTCAGCAGATGCCGTGCCTGTTCCTCCAGCATGACTCGGGTCTGGTTCACCATGGTGCTCAGCGTTACCTGGGAGCCAGCCAGACCCCGGTAAAACACAGGCTGCAGAAGAAGACAGGAGACAGGCTTTGGCCTGGGATGCCAAGGAATCAGCTGCTGAAAGGAGGACAGCTGTCTCTCTACTGAGACAGCTGGGCAGCATAGGCAGGACTGAGAACTGCCCCCTTGCTCTGGGCTCTGTCTACCAGCCCAAGCTGCCTGCGTTTCAGACCTCTGCTCTCACCCAACTACCTGCGGTGAAGCTGGGAAGTGGGACTGGAAGGAAGATGCCAAGAATGACTGGAGGCAGTTACCCTCAAGGATTCACCAGCACAGCTGCTCACTTAGTGTCACTACTTGTCTGGGTAAAACTCCAGAGCCATGAGTTTATGCAGCACCAGTTAAACAAACAAAACAACTTCCCAGTTCTGTTCAGCAAGCATGGATGCTGTCCCTTGACCAGCTATTGATTTAATAGCAGGCTGTATTCCTTCCTGGCAGAGCTGGGGGAATTGGGGCTATGAGAGAGAGGCAAGCTTACCATCTTGTGTAAAAGGCACATTTGCCCCTGCTGCAAGCTCGAAGCAGACCCTGGTGAAGAAAGAGCCGCTGGCAACCAAAGGATTCCCAGGGAGGGACATGTCTGGCTGCAGATGAAAGGCTTTTTTCTTTGAGAGGGATTTCTAAAACGAGGTCCTTGCTGTTCCCCTCCCTGGCAGTGTTGGCACAGTCAGCATAGGGATATGGAGCCAGACAAGACCCTGACCATCCCGGGGACACTGAAAGGAGTTGAGGCTGGGGAGCATGTTTTACCAGCAAACATCGCAAAGCTGTTATCAGTGAAAGCCACCTGTGAAACCTTGCTGCTTCATTTCCTTTTAAAAGAAATGTGCTTTGCAAAGAGGTGTTCGGAGAAGATGCAGTCACAGCACTGGGTAAGCCCCTGCCACTGGCTGGTGTGCTGGAGGGGGCTAGCACAGCTCCGCTTCAGGGTGGGAAAGACCCCAGGAGCTGTCAGGGCCCAGAGACAGCCACCATGCAGAAGGCATCATGGTCCTCTGCAGGGTAGGGGGAGTCCCCCACGGTCCTTGCCCGTGTGTGATCATTGCCCCTTGCCCATTAATGTGACCATTTGCAGGCTGCGAGGCGCCAGATGTGCTGCAGAACTGACCCACCAGCAGAAACACAGCTGGCAAAGTGAAATGGGCAGGAGAAAGACTAGAGCCAGTTAAAACCCACCAGTCCTCATAAAACTAACGTCCCTTTTATAATCAGGAGCACAAAGCCCATCCTCCCATGGAAAACAGGAGACAACGATGGTGATTTTTTCATGAGGCATCAGGAAGACCTGATATCTCTTACCCTGGCTGTTGCCTCTGCAGCATGATCACCCATTGCCCTGCAAAGAGGGAGAAGATCAGTTAGCACTGAGCGCCATGTGCCCATCACTCATCACCTGAGGCCTGGCATGAGATCTGTTATGTACTCTTTTCTCTGTGCCTGTAAGCTGAAAGCTTCTTCCCTGAGAGAACAGGGAAGGGTCAGCAGCATGTTGTCCAGACCTGATCTACCTTACAGGCCAGAGATGCTGTCTTCTAAGCACCAGATATGGGGGCCACACACCTAAGCACCAGGGGTGCTCCCATAGACAGGTTGCTGATGCACATTGCAGTGCATTAGGCTGCCACCATTTCACATGCTGCCACTCGTCACCCATCCTGGGTGACTGTAGGTACCCTGCAGGAGCTGTGGGTTGACAGCCCTACACAGCAAGCTTGCACGGGGTGTACCAAGCACATACCCTGCTGAGTTGACGAGGGTCTCTCCAATCTGGGAGCTTGCTATCCATCTGGTCTCATCCACGGTGGTGCGGGCATGGGGCAGCCTCCCGATGTCTTTCACTGTCATGATGAGGTGGCGGGAAGACTTGAGCAGCTTCACCGCCTCGTCGTGGGGGATGCTGAGAAAGCTCCTGCCGTTCACCTCTAGGATCTGGTCTCCTACCTGTGGAGTCAGGATGGGGTGAGCTGGCAGGCCCTGGGGGCTTTCCTGTTAGGAATATACCTTCTTCTCCCACCAGGAAGGAGCTACTCAGTCTACCCTACCACGAAACTAGGACCACAGCAATTGAAGGCACCAAGAAAGATGACGGAGAGGGGCCAAGTGCTGGTGGCTGGAGACCAAGCACTCAAGCCAACAGCCAGCAGAGGACCAGGTTGTGAAGCCTGGAGGCCTGTTTAGGATCCCAGGTCAGACCAATCTGCCCAGTCCCCTCCATTAACTAGATTTGCAGACCCGCTTGGTTAGAAACAATCTGCAAAGAATATCAAGACCTCCAGCCCCAATCCCTCCTGCTGATCTGGGAGGCCAGAAACCATCTGCAGAAGCCCAAACCTCAGATCTCTGTGTGCAGCAGGGAGGGTTCAACTCAAGTGTCTCACCACAGTCTCCAACGCTCTGTAAACTGTAGGATCTGAGACAGCTGGATTTCATCTCTCCTCTCCTCCTATTTCCTCCCCAGCTGCTCCTAAGAGCTTTCATTTTGTGGCCAGGGCCTCTGCTGTGATCAGGAGCTTCCCTGACAGCCTGGCCACGTTCAAGCCACAACACTCATCTGGTATTTTCCCCCTTCATCCTAGGTCCTCTTTCTCTTTGCTTCTAGGGCATTCAGTGCCACTCCTCCTCCCTCCCGTATTACAATTCACCCTGTTTCTGATAAGCCACCTCTTTGAAACTGCTCTTTCATATCTTTGCTTAACCATAGGCTTCTGTTCAGCTCTATCAAAACACAGTCTTATTTTCTTTATGCTGCAATGCAAGCAGAATGAGACATTCCTTTAAATAAATCGCCTCCATCTTGGAGATTAGGAGAAAAGAGGCAGCGGGAAGAATTTCTAAGGCTAAAAAAATAACATAGAGAATTAGTATGATCCTTTCAGCTCAGTCCATCTCATTCAGCCGCTGGGTCAAGGAAGCCTCAGAGGACTGGGATTAATTCTCCAGATTCTTAAAATCATTTAGTCCAGTGAGAAGCCATGATTAACCACTGCCAAGTCTATGTGGTGGGCTGTGACTCTCCTGTCACCGAAGTTTCCACCAGTGCTACCCTGAACTTTGCTGGGGTGAAACAATGGACATCAGGACTACCACCAGCAAAGCTCAGCTCAGCATAAAGCATGGGAGATCCAGCAACTGCTCCAGCAGGGAGGGGAAGCCAGCTGCTGGTCTGAGGAGGCAGCAGCTGATCCAGAAATCGCAGTACAGCCCCAGCACTTGGACATTGCCCCTCTTTTATGCTACAGCTGTAGCAAGCTCACAAGAGCATAGGGCCAGGGCTTGCATCAGCTAGTCTCCAGACACAGCATTGCCAGCTGAGCTGGAAGGTGGCCAGGGACTGTAGCAGTAGGACTGCTACTCCTCAGCACAAGAAGGACATGGACCTGTTGGAGAGGGTCCAGAGGAGGGCCACAAAAATGATCTGAGGGCTGGAGCACCTCTCCTACGAGGATGAGCTGAGAGAGTTGGGGTTCTTCAGCCTGGAGAAGAGAAGGCTGCGAGGAGACCTTATTGCAGCCTTTCAGTACTTAAAGGGGGCCTATAGAAAAGACGGGGACAATCACAACAAAGCCTGTTGTGACAGGACAAGAAGTAATGGTTTTAACTAAAGGAGGGTAGATTTAGACTGGATATAAGGAAGAAATTTTTTACAATGAGGATACTGAAACACTGGAACAGGTTGCCCAGAGAGGTAGTGGAGGCCCCATCCCTGGAAACATTCAAGGTCAGGTTGGATGGGCCTCTGAGCAACCTGATCTAGTTAAAGCTGTCCCTGCTCACTGCAGGGGGGTTGGGCTAGATGACCTCTAAAGGTCCCTTCCAACCCAAAGCATTCTATGATTCTACGACTGACACGCATATAGGCAACCTGCACACTCACGCACACGCTCCTGCTTGATTTCTGCTAGCCTGTGCTGCTATGACTGTGGCATCCAGATGGTCGATATTTGAGGCTTCAAGGCTAATAGGACCCCTGTCAAGGCATCCACTGCTCTCACCTTGTCTTCCTGAGACGCTTTCCTTCCACTCATGCATCCAGCAAAGGGCTGGTGGGAACTGAGGACAGAGTGGCCATGCCCTGATGTCAGATACAGTGCTGATAAAACCTGACCATGGCTTCTCCAGGCATCCCCCTGAGGACATCTCGGCAGATGATGTCTCAGCACAAGAATAGGGAAAAAAAGACAGAGAGAAATCCTGCTGCTTGTGCCAGGAAAGACCCCTGATCACAACCCTGGCTGTCTTGAGGTCTGTGGTATGATGAACACCCTTCAGACCAACCAAGAGGTGATCTTTATGAGAAATCAAGTAGAGAGAAGGAGAAGAGTGAGCTGGTGGAGAGCCTGTGGGTGGCAGGAGGGAACACAACTCAGCAGGGCTCTGTCACAGGTGATAGGGGGAGCAGGACCCTACCTCTGTGCTTATCTCATGAGCCACTGACCCACCTCGGGCTGTCTGAAACTGATGCAAATCCCAGTCCCCAGAGTCCTGTTGGGGTGAGGGTATTTGGTGAGAAGGGTCTGACGCTGCCAGCATTCAGGGACAGTTACCCAGTGGCTGGAGGCTGTCCCAGCTGCAGTGTAACCAGACAAGGGTGCCAGGCGCAACCAGGAGCATAAGCCAGAGTCTCAACAGGAGCATGACTGACCATTTCAGATAGAGGGTTTTAGTCTGGGAGCTGCCATCAAAGCAGAGGCCATAGTCCAGCCCCATGTGTCCCTCTCGTATTCTGTGGCGCTGTGGTTTCACCCTTCCATTTCTGCCAGTTTTTTTGTATTCCTGTGGCACCAGGGCACCTCCTGGACAGACTGCTGTAGAGCAAAGTTGGCTCGATAGCAAAGAAAAAACACATTACCTTGAACTACACTCCCCCCAGCAGCCTTCAAGGGGAGACTGCAGCACTTTAATTATTATTACATTTTGTTCTGTTTTGAAATGAGTCTTAAAGAAAATTCCAGGTGCCTTTTACAGGGGCCCTGGGCCTGCTCTCCCAAGTGGTGCCAGGCAGCAGCCACACTGGCCCCACTCCAAAAACAAGCCAGGATGCAGGAGCCTGGAGAAACTCTTGGACCCATGATCCACACAGAGAGGCTGCAGAGCACTAGGGACTCCCCTTCATGCAGATGAAGACTGTCAAAGCATTAGCTGATCAACATAAGGCTGTTTCCCAGGAGAGTCCAGCTCTTCCTATGCAGCTCAACACTTCCCATCCACCCCTCCTTTCACTGGCCCCACAGCAGCGCTCTGGCTCAGTTAATGGATCTGACTGAAACTCAAGGCTGCTTCTTGCAGGGTTGGCTTTCAGCTGGTTCAGCTCTCTCATCTGACTCCCCACATGGCTACAGGATCAGGCAGCTGCTGTGGGGTGGCAGAAAGCCCCAGGATTGTCCTGGACTGGTGGGTGGCCACCATGACAGCAGATAGGTGGCATGGCTTCAGAGCAGCACAAAGCTCCAGGAGCACTTCAATCACTCCAGCTTGCCTTCCAGGGGAGGGCAGAAGAAATCCCCCAAATCCACTGTACTGCACTTGTGCAAATAGGTATTGCCTAGGCTATTTAAGGGATTACAGAGGCAGAGTTTCTGCGTGCCAAGGAGGCACAGCAGCTTCCCTCCTTTCCCACTGCAGGGCCATGGAGGGTCATATATGGAGACCTCTGCACTCCTCTGGCCTTGCAAAAATAGATGCAGAGGGAGAGATGGCACAGGATCTCCCCGAGAAGCAATAAAGAGATGCAAAGGAATAGGAGAACCTGAGAGTTATTGAACATCCAGAAGGTAAGAAAGAAAATCCTAAGATGTCTGCAGCAGTACTATGAAAATGAGCCCAGGAGAGAGTTAAGATTTAGACTGAGTATTAGGAAAAGGTTTAGATATGATATGAGGAGATGTTTGGATATGAGGAGAAATTTCTTCCCCGAAAGGGTTGTCAAGCACTGAAACAGGCTGCCCAGGGAAGTGGTTGAGTCACCATCCCTGGAGGTATTTAAAAAATGTGCAGATGTGGTGCTTAGGGACATGGTTTAGTGGTAGGCTTGGCAGTGTTAGGTTTACAGTTGGACTCGATGATCTTAAAGGTCTTTTCCAACCTAAATGATTGTATCAGATCTACCAGCAACATTCAGCTATTTGGGTTAATTCAGACTAGATGTGTCAGAAGGGGCTGGTAAAGGTGCTTTGAAGAACCAGGCAGGACTTTGCAACTGTCCAAGATGTGACTGATGCCTCTTGAACGAACAGAGCACCCACAGGCGAAAGACTGTAACTATAAGCTCATGGACCACTTGAGAACCATCAAGTAAGCCTACAACAAAAACACTGATGGGAAACCGTGGTAAGAAACATATCAAGAATCACTCAAATTAGTGTAATGGCAATATCCAAGTGAATGCATGTCTTTGCTGTGAGTGCATTCCCTGGATACATCTCTGCCTGCCCAGCCAGGAGACACAGAGAGAAAAGTTCTAGAGAAAGGAAACAGAAAGGATTAGTGTCAGAGGAAGGTGCCTGTGAAAGGACAGATCAAAAAGATTAGGCTTGTTAAATTTAGAGGAGAGAGAGTGTGTGGGGAGTTTGATGGAGCTATACAAAATAATGCTGGCAATAATGAGAAGCCAGAGGAGGGCTCCTGTTTTCCCTCTGATGAAAAGACAGAGGATGCTCAGTGAGGCTGGAAGGACACTCTGGGTGGTGTCAGTAGGAGAAAAGGAGCTGGAGCAAAAGCACCAGATGCAGCTGGGATGCAGCAGAGCTCAGCTTTGCATTCAGCTCTGTCCAGTGACCTCAGGCAGATTTGCCTCATTCTTCATTCTTCAAGAGGGACTTCAGGGCACCAGGACAATTGGTTGCAGGATCGGGAGCACAGGTAGTGTTTTCCTCAATCCTGTCAATAGCAGCAAAGAATACTGAAAGGAATAGGAAAACTCACCTGATTAACAGGTGTCTCAG